CAGCTTTTTTCGTGGGGGGGGGGGGGACACCAATGACAAGGCAAAATGCACAATGCTAAACAAACCACCAATTTTCATTTATTGCAATCCAAGACAAGGAAAATGCACTAGTTAGGAAAACTGCAGAAATCACTATAAAATATGGACAAGTTGCAATAATAAGATCTCTTATACCTGCAAGATTTTCAGCAGCAAACCTAAGGCAAACTGCTTTGAGTTCTGTGGCATGGTAACGGTCAGCTAAAGCAAGAGTTCTGGAAACAGAGTTCACCGAGATATCTTTGCAAAGATGAGATTCGCACACCCGCCTGAGTCTTGTTAAATCATACCGATCAGCTGCTGCTAGCAGTTTCGCTGTCAATGTATTGGTCACAGAAGGAATAGAAGAAGAACTAGTATCTTCTATCTCTTCATCTACAAGAGAATCTCTGTATATGAAGTGCAACATAGCCTGTTTCATGCCACAAGAATATATATATCAAAAAGAAGGGTGAGTGAGAATTTCATGTTTTGTTCTGAAGAAATTTGATCTTTTTCTGCCAAAACACGGAAGTTATTTTGGAGAAACAAATACAGCAAGAGAGATGGAGCAATGCCACTATTTGAGGCAATAAGAAATTCTGTTTTCTTCGACAGCACAAGAAAACCCAATTTAAAATAAAATGATTAACAAAGTAAAAAAGAAAAATGAAATTGATGCTCACTTTAAAGACCCTGGGTTCCATATCTGTGACAACAATCTCCTGCTTATCGCCCATCAGTTCATCAAACAATTCAGTGCGAAATACAGGAGAACGAGCAGTTAATACCAGCTTATGGGCATGAAATTTTTCACCAGCCACAATGAAAACAACATCAGAGCCTTCCATATTCTCTAATAGCATTCCAAAGTGTGATCCCATATCAGAATCTGGAACCTGGATTGGCTGTAAGCTCGAGATATCAATTGTAGATCGAACAACTCCCACAGTGCAATTGATTTTCAAACAGTCATCCTTGAGATAATCTGAATTCTCAAGTAAAGCTCGTCTAAAGAAACGTTTGTATCCCCTGCATACACATAGATAAACAACATAGCAAATTTTGTCTTAAGTTGTAACAGCAAATATTAGGCTTAAAGTAAAAGGGAAAAATAAAGCTCGATTAGGCCTACACAAATTCTAGTTTGTATTTTTTCTTTCATTCATGCCAAAGAATAGAAAATTTCAAGAAAGGCAGAAACCTAATAATAGAGCATGTGCCAATAAAGGAAATGCATCACTGTCAGCAAGTACCTAATATTGCCCCTAAATACTTCGACTCGGTTAGATCTAAGTTGCTCAGACTCGGGTGTCCGTATCCCCGAATCTTAAAAGCTAAACACTCTACCCTCCCCGGACCCACCTGTGGGATTCCACTTGGTATGTTGTTGTTGTATCTAAGATAAAATTATGACGCCAGATTGGGGAAGGGGATGAGGTTTGGATTAGGATCTGGGGGGGACAAGTAATGAGAGTAGGGATAAATCCATGCGACTTGCTTTTCCTACTTTTACTATGAAAGTCATTTTCCTTATTTCCAATAAGCTTGCTTTCCTAAAGAAAATATTTTCCAAAAGTTTTTACCAATCGAATAAGAGAAAATACCATACCGAACACGCCCTGATATGGGGTAAAGATGACAATTAGTAAGTAATAAAGAATTTATTTATTTCATGCAATTGGTCGATAAAAAAAGATATGATTTCCTTCTAAGAGGCAACACAAATGCACCAAAGGAACATTCTTAGTAATTTCTTTAGACTTTATTAATTATTCCATCAAATGTATGAATAATATTTTATTCCTATTTACTCAATATTTCGTAAAAACTTATATCTATGTTTTATTAAGCATTCTTTGCAGACATACTTGGCATTTTACTGAAAGTTAAGACCTTTATTTGAGAAGGGAAAGGGAAAGAAAGGAGAAAGTATTTATGAAGGAAAGGTAAGTTGGAATTAGCTAACTTATCATTAATTATCATAAATAATAATTAGTTGGAATAAACGGCGTTTAATTTGATAAATATAATGTCCAATTGTAAAATTCAGGTATTATCATATAACCTTATGTGAGAACTAACAAAAAAGGTGATGAAATTCTATATATAAAAAATGGTCTATAAAACACATTGTGTTGCCAGGGGCTGAGGCATAAGGGTACGGGGGGATTCAATTGAACCCTATTCGTTGATAATTTATACTACATATGTAAATAGGGGGGGAAAAGTTGTATCTATATAAGTTGTTAAATCCCCTTGGCATACAAAATAAAAATAAATTGATCACCATTATTGAATTATGACTCTTCCACTGATTGTTATGCTATGCAATGTTACGATTACAACATACCAAGGTACTCTATCACAAGCTTTTGTATTTATAGTAATTTTTTTAACTTAATCTTTCAAAAAAAAAATTGTGAAGGAAATATCATAAAATCTACTATATATATTGATAATATTCTTATAAATCTCATATTTGAAAAAAAACAATAGCTCCCAAAAATGATATATGACTTGATTTTAGAATTAAGGGAATAATTACTAAATAATAGTTATTGATATTTAAGAATTAATTAAAACACAAACATAATAGTGTGAAGGTGCAAAACAAAGAAATAACTTCAATGTCGAAATATACTGACAAAAGAAGTTGGGGAAGTGAAGAAGTAAATGAGTTAATAATTTATTTATGTTTTTGTACATATCATCTACTCTCTCCATTCACTTGTACTTGACCATTTTGAACTTTGCACGTCCCATAAAAACAATGATTAATATGAGCATTTTACTGCAATATCCATACTAATTAATGTTTAGCCTTAGATCATGAGAAATGATTTGGGATATAAGCAATTAATGCTAAAGGTAAGACGTGAAAAAAATATGTTTATCTATTGATATGCCAAAAGTGACGAGTAAAAGTGAAAATATAATTTTAGTATAGTCGACAAGTAAGAGTGAATGAAGGAGTAAAAAAGTTGAGATTTTAATGACAGAGAAGGTTATAATGTTACACTCTATACAAATTGTACTTGATTGCATTGTTACAACATACACAGAATTAATATTAAAAGGACGAGTAGAAATCAACTTTCTATCTTCATCCATGGATTCTTTATTCATACTTATTCAATTGGAAGTTTTGATCCAATTTATATTACTTTTTCATTTTATTTTTACAAAAAAATCAAGTAATGCTATTTTTTATTATTTCATTAAATTATATTTTAAAAATAATATACAACTTGTTTTGGTACAGAAAGAAAAAACAAATTTTACCGCAAACTGGTAGTGAATAGGAATGAAGATTTCACATTATTTTTCAAATTTGATACAATTATCCTCTTAACTCGATAATTTGCTTAACTTCACTTACAACAGAAAGTCTCCAGAGAGACGAGAGAGAGTTGTTCGCATGGTAAGCACCCCTTACTTTCAACCCGAAGGTTGTGAGTTTGAGCTTACCAAAGCATAGCTGGCTCTGAAGCCTGCTATGAAAAGGAGTGTTGCAGTAGGTAGACAACCAGTGTAATATCATCTAACTATAGTTAATACTCCTAATACCGAATCCTGACTAAAGTGGATGGAAATATAATTATACCCGACCCCAACCAATTTCTCTCACAACTTCACATAAGGCAGAGGAGTTTGATCATTTTTGGGGCAATGGTGGAGGAATAGAGGCATACTAGATTTACAACAACAACATACCCAATGAAATCCCACAAGGGGGATCTAAACAACATACTTGATTTGATTGAACAAAATTCTAATCAACACAATTGGAACTAATACTTCCCAGAAAGCTCATAAATAGCAGCTGCAACAGCACATCTTTCACATAAACCAATACAATAAAACAACAACAACAATAAAGCATGAAATTCACTGCAAATTAAAGCTAAATTACATAAGCTAAAAAGAATCCAAAAAAAAAAATCTCAAAACTTTACCACTGCCCCAAAGCTCGGCATCAAATTAAAACTAAATTAACAGGAGTTAAAGCAAATTACCACATGCTGCCGCGGTATTTCAATGTATACGGTCCACTTTCAAGTGACCGATCAAAATGACTATGAACCTTATGCTTCCCTTTACCACTCTGATCAACCAACGTCAATTCAAACAAAGCCCTAACATCCGTTCCTTCACTCGCCAACGCAATAAAAAGTGACACATACGTTGAATTATCCTCAGGGTTTTTCCCATCAGGATAAAAGTAAATAGCCCATTGATGTCCACCAACGGTGAAATTATCACTCGCGATGTGTTTCCCAACTCCCATTCCTTTAGCCAATGAATACCCCTGAATCACAAACCGGTGTGAACCGTTTACCGTTTCCGTCACCGACCGAGAACTCGTCGCCCGGGTTAACGGACTCGTGTCGGAGACGTGGGTGATTATCGGCTGCTCCGACATTGTGAATTGTGGATTTTTTTGGTTCGTTAGGGTTTGGAAAAGGGAAAATTCATGGAAGAAGGGGACTTAGAGGGAATTAATTGGAAAGTTTAGGGCAAAAAATGGGAAGATTGAGAATGAAAATTTGATTTAGGGTTTTGGATTTTGTTCCAAAGATAGAAAGGGAAAATAATGGTCGGAGATTTTCGAATTAATTGGGTGGCGTTAAGAACTTTGAGAGGAAAAATTTGGAAAGTATTGAGTACTACGAAAATATGTTTTATGACATACTTTTTTGTCTTTTTTTTTTTGACGGACTAATTTAGATTCATGTTAGGTAAAAATTCATTCGGAGATATCGTTTTCAATGGAAAAAAAAATTCATATTCAATATTCGAACTTGAAACCTCTAATTAAGGGGTTGATTAAGGAAGAAACAAAGTCATTCACTACACCACATTCTCTAGTGGTTTCTGTGTATTTTTTTTTATTTTTTTTGTTGATGACAAGGAAAACCCGCAGCTGACAAGAGAAACCCGCAGCCGCTATCCTTTGGGTGCGCACATGGTAAAATCCCCGCTCCTATGCAATAGCTCGCAAACCACATAGGAGAAGTAACCTACACTAGGCAAGCCCGGTGCAACGAGCTCGACTCAGAAGGCAAACCCCTTGCTTTCGCTGGCAAGGGGTTTCGAACTTGAGACCTCCAACATGGAAGTCCCAAGCCCAAACCACTGGGCCATCCCGAAGGGTGTTTCTGTGTCTATTTTTATTAGGTAACTTGCCGAAATTTCACTAACTTATGAGTTAATTACATAGATATATGCTAGTATGTTAGTTTGTGATATTACGAATCTTATTATATTTTGGTGTGTCGAGATACACAGGATACATGAGGTCAAAATTAGGTGTAATTTGTTCTAGATGCATGGTATCCAAGTGGACTCGCATGTATCTGGGATACATAAACAAATCTCGTTCGCCACTCACATATCTCACTCGTATATCTGGTGTCCGAATACATGTGAATCACACCAAATATATGTAAATAGTGAGTATCTACTAACTAGTATGATTCACATTTATCTGACTTAAAAATTGGTACGGGATTGTTAGATATTGAGGTAAATTATAATTATATCAAACTATGAAGATAATTATAAATATGATAGAAATATTTGTGTAATTATATAATTTCTCCAAATTTACTCATGTTTCACTTGACTAAGTATTTACTAATTAGTAATAAAATGATAAGTTTATTATATCATATTTAAAATATAATAAATTTATTAGTTACAATATTTATGATTAGTAACAAAAGTAAATTATAAATTAAATTATAAATTGTCCTTCAATTTTTAAATTACATAAATAAAAGTAAAATATTTATTTTTAATATATTGAACAGGTAGTCTGGACAGGAGAAATTACTTTTCTATTTTGGTGCATGAAAATTTTCAAGTGATAATGTATTTGAGGTATTAATAATCAGGTTAAATATTTATTCATATATGATATTTATATTAAATCGTGTAAATTTGTTATAGTTAAATTATTTAATAATGTGGGGATCCATGTTAATTAATTGTGATTTAACTTTAAGCGGTATATAAAAATATATATCATGAATTTATTAGCGTAGGTAAACATATATGAAATTAACCATTTATTAGTGATGTTGAAAGATGACATAGGATTCATATGAACTTACTAATTTCTCTCTCCCCCCCCCCAACAACCGCGCGCTCTCTCTCTCTATATATATATAATTCACTAAATATTTTTAAATATTTAATCATTAATCTAATTATTATTATCTATTCGTTTTAAATCAGTATAATTTTCAGTTGTTTGGTAGAATGTATTAGAAAAAATAATGTATGAATTAATTTTCTATATTGATAGTATCTTGTTTGAAATACTTTTTCAACCTATATATAACTAATGTTATGCACTCTATTGTGAACTAAAATGTGTATTAGTAGTACATGAAAATTCAGGATTTTGGTAGTAATGCAAGAGTTTTTAATGCATGCATTAGCATGATTAAAGACACAATTGTCCCTAAAACCTTTTTTTTTACATATATTTCACCATATTTGTGGAAGATATTTTTATAAAAAAAATTTATAGAAATTATGTCATGCATGTTATTTTTAATACGTCAAACCAAATAATGCATTATAATGCAAACATAACTAATACAAACATTACTAATACCAATACATTGTTGGGTTTTAAAGGTGTGAACAAATGAAAGATTGTGACTCTCCTGAAGGGTTGCGACTATGTCGAAGGGTTGTGACCTTTATGAAAGCTTGTGTCCTTTCTAAAAAGTTGTGACCGTTTGAATGGTTGTGCCTTTTCCAAAGTGTTGTGACCTTTCTGAAAGGTTGTCCTCTTTCCGAAAAGTTGTGACATTTACCCTTTGTTGACTATAAATAGAGAGACTTTCTTTTATTTTTCTACACTGAATTCTTCCCTTATTTTGCATACATTTATTACAAAACAAAAGCAATCGATCGTGTCTGTGTGTGTGATTCGTTGCTGTCATTTTGAGTTCGTTGAAATTATCGAAGTTTCAGGTACCACTACTTCTTTAATGGTTAATCCGTTTTATCTTGTGAGGAATTAATATGCAAACTTGGGAACTTGAGGGGATTAAATTTCTTGAGGACATACAGTGGGTTATGTGGACTCGAATAGTTCTTTGTTTTTTATTTTTTCATCTTTTATTATTTCTGGTTTGTTAATCTAAATACAAGAGGTAACATACATCAAACCAAACAATGAATTATAATTTAAAGATGTAGTTTAAGTTGGAGGTATAGTTAATGATGTTTTTTTTTGCCAAGAATTCTTAATAGGTGTTTGGACATGTGATTTCATATCACGCTATGAAATTATGAGATGAAATCAACGTTTGGATATGCGATCGTACATGATTTCATATCATGAGATGAAATTTCAAATTCTCCAAAAAGAACGATTTGGAAATTTCAATTCATGATTTTGAAATTTTCATATACAACAATTAATCCACAATTTATATTTTGTAAAAACAACCCCACGTTTATATCTACTAATTATTTATTTCATATAAACAAAATTTATAATTCATATCACTATTTTTTAAATCAATTGTATATCATATAACGATTATTCTCACCAACATAAAATTTATTATTACTTCAAATCAATTCTTAATTTGCTATTTATATTCACCAACTTCATTATTTTTTATCAAATTTATTTACCAATCAAATGACTAACAAATGGCTACAAGAAACAATGTTTGTTCATCTTCTCGATGATATGATCGAGAAATGCAAGTTCAACGTGAGAAGATTGTATGTTCTACGTGGGAGGAGTATATTAAAGTCTACTCCATTTGTCCCATATTAGTTGTGAATTATACTAAAAACAGTTGTCCCATAATAGTTTATCACCTTACTAATTCAAGAAAGTATTAATTAAATTTTCCCTTTATTACTCTTACAATTAACTTCTTTGAAAATGTTCACATTTGTTTTGTAAAATTTCCAATAAGTTTTTTAAGGGTTGAATTAGTAAAATAATCTTCTTGTTTATGATTTCTTAAGCACCATGCAAAATGAGAAGTGATCAATTAATATGCGACGTAGGGAGTAGTAAACTACAACTAATGTTCAATTTTATCTTTTTATTTAATTAAGTTTGATCAATAAATGTTGTATCTTTTTAGAATAGCTTTGAGATAGTACTGTTGGGATTTATGCAGTTTTGATAATTGACAAAGAAATATGAAACACGTCAGTCAATATGGTCCAAAGGTACACTGTAAGAGCAGCTGAATTCGAAAAAACTTTTAAGATGAATAAAGACAAGAGTGAAGAAATAAAGAAATGGATAATGCTAATTTCGTGAGAAAGCCCAAGGAAGTAATCATCTGATGGATTGAAGAGAAAGAATCAATGAGTTCGATTTGAAGAAGGAGTCTAAAGAGGCAAGGAGTTTCACTTAAAGTAGAACTCTTCAAATTACTGCTGAATTGAAGTGTTGGAGTTTGACTACAATACAAAAGAATCAATGAATGTAATTTGAAGAAGGAGTCTAAAGAAGCAAGAAGTTTGAATTGAAGAAGGAGTCTTACTTGAAGTGGAGCTCTAAGTCAAGAGAGTTCAAGTCAATGAGGAGTTTGAAGTGAACAATAATGCTATGAAGAATTGTGCTTAAATAGAAGTGAAGTCGTTCAGAATACTTGTGCACTTACAGAGCAAAAAGAGCAATTGAGAAATTGACTTCGCAAGTGCTACCAGCGAACTGAAGGAACACATCGAAGAACTTGATCCTTTTACAGAGTTTATGTGTTAAGAGTTTTTCTTTGTGAATGAGTCTTGGTGTAATCTTAGTTCAGTGAGTTATAAACTGAACTAGGAGTGTTGTCTTCAGGTTATGATAACTCGAAGAGTTGAGAACACATACCTTGGGAGGTTTGTGTTGAAGATTAGGAATTAGAGTTAGTTCCAAGGATTATTAGAGTTGTAATCTAAATCCATAACTTGAAGTTAAGGAATTAGAGTTAGTTCTGTAGGTTGCAAAGTTTGTAATCTATTTTCTGTGGAGGCTCAGTGATTTAGTGAAGTTGGAGTTAAATCCTATAGGGGTACAGGTCGTGGTTTTTCACATTTTTTGAGCCGGGTGTTTTCCACATAAAAATATTATATTTTTACTTACTGCTTTGTTGGGACACGTTAGGTAACCTGTTTCACACTTAGGCAAAACGTTAAAATCAACAAATTACTAAGTCATGCAGACTAACAGACAGTGTATTGTGCGATTTTATAAACTTTTTGCTTATTTGACATGATTGTATAAAAAGAGTTGAGACAATTTTAATAGTCTTACAACTTATGAGATTTTTTTTAATGTTTATGAAAAAACATACAACATAAAAAGTCTAAATTGCATGTCCAAACAAAATTTTAACTACATATTATGATTTTATATCACGATTTTATATCGCATGGCCAAATAAATCCAAATTTTAATTAGGCACCTGTGCTAATTGAGGACATGAATACAATTTTTATCGTGAAAAAGGGTAAAAGAATAACTTTAAATTATGTGAAATAGAACAAATATAATTTTCATTAATAAGTTGTTCAAAAAATGTCCATATTATTTATAATTTAACTCAAATAAAAATCATATATCATATATATAAAAGAGAATCTTAGGCTCGCCTATGTGGCATCACCACAAACA